AAAAAAAAAGTAGATAGATACTAAAACAATTTATTTGATCTATACTTAAGTATCATATAACTGAAAAAGAAAAGCAAAAAAAAGCTGACGTTTTTTTCCCACTTACTTTTTTAGATTATTTTTTTTGTTGTCATTTTTTTTTCTTTCTTTCACCATCTTTTATAAACTATATGTTTGAGAAAGACAGAACAAAAAAAATTGATAACCGAGAAAAATTTGGAAAATTTGATGTAATAAAAATAATATTTAAAAGAAGAGACTTAAACAGAAAAAAAAAAAAGAAAAAACCTTAGTAATTTAAGCTCTTTTTACTTCACTGTATTTACAACATAAGTTTCGCTGCTTTTTTTTGTTTCGATGTCTTCTAAACAACATTTAGTGATTACTGTTGTGATAACGGTAATTTTGTTTACTCTCCAGTAAATTTTTGAAAGATTTTTTTTTTTAATACAAAATTAAGAAATTGTTTCTACCAAAAAAAAAAATTTATTATACATTTAATCAGTAATCGTTAAATTCTGTAATGCTTATACCAAATTTTAATTTCATCAATCAGACAGTCAATTACTTGAAGTTTGGTTAGATAGGGAAGAGAAAATATGATACCGATATATGTTCAAGGTAAGATAACCGTATTAACAATTAGCAATAATTTTAGCTTTCTAAGACTAAATTAATACTGAAATTATATAGTTGTCATAGACAAAAAAAACAAAAAAATTATTTCTTTCCTTTCGCTTTTTTTTTCAGTGTACATATGATGAACAGTAACCTTGGTATGGCAATTGTTTGTATGGTTAATTCAACAGAATATGCAGATACGGGTAACGATGAACTGAATGATACACTGTCGTTGATAGAAGAAATCAATGAAACTGTTCTTACTGTTCAAGCTGATCATTGGGAAGCACCAAAAATGTCATGGTCAGCTGATCAACAAGGCTATATATTCAGTGCATTTAATTTGGGTTTATTAACAATGCTTGGTACCGGATTGTTGGCAGATAAATTCAATGCTAAATATATGATCATTGGTAGTGTTGTGTTAGCTGCAGCATCTAACGTACTGATTGCATTGGGATCACCGATAAGGTTTGTCAATTTCTAAATTTTTTTTGACATTGTTGACAGCATTGATATAATCACAGATTACCTTTTTCCCCGGTACATTGAAAATGATAACACGTTTATA